ATCCTTCCACTTCGTAGCCGCCATCAGAAGATCCAAGAATACAAAATTATTCACACGCCTAATCTGTTGTCTACATACAGAACAGACAAATTCAAATAATCGTAGATGCTGCCGGTTGAGCGATAAAAAAGTAAATTAACTTACCTAAACCAAGATCAGTGTTGGCCTGTTGCACTATCCTTCCACTTCGTAGCTGCCATCAGAAGATCCAAGAATACAAAATTATTTACACGCCTAATCTGTTGTCTACATACAGAACAGACAAATTCAAATAATCGTAGATGCTGCCGGTTGAGCGATAAAAAAGTAAATTAACTTACCTAAACCAAGATCAACAAGGAAGAGTTTCTTTTCTTCAGGTGTCCCAGGAGTCCCTAGCAAGAAATTCTCTGGTTTGACATCGCCATGAACATACCTGAAATCCCAAACTTTTTTTTTAATTTTGCCAGCGGATGAAAGAAATACATAGAGAATAAGGAGTTAAGAATAATCAGTGGTGTTAACTGACCCTTTTGAATGCATTTTCTCAAGTATGGAGATTGATTCAATAGCAATACAAGCAACCATCTCAGGTGACATTCTGCTAGCAAAGGAATGACGTTAATGGTAAACTAAAAGTCAATATCAAGTGTCTGACTCAAAACTATGACTCACGTGTGAGACTTATTATTCCAGACATCCCCAAGACTGGGTCCGACCATATCCATAACCTGAATTTTGAAGACCAAGTTTTGTACGGCCACTGCAGCCAAGGTGGACTGCGGGAGGAACGCGCCGGTGAGCAGCACGGCGAGGCAGTCTCATCACGCCGGGAAAGCGGCAGTTGGGGCCTGGCCAGGCCGCCGTGGCGTGAGGGGCATCTGTGGCAGGGCTGCCGCTTCCGAGCCACCGTGGCGAGTGGCGCCTGTGCCGGGACTGCCGCGGCCGAGGGCCGCCGCGCCAGGGAGGCAACACAAGCTGCAGTGCCGGCCAATCACCTGTGCAAAGGGGAGATGGATGGAGAGAGGACTTGGTGAGGAGCGATGAGATGGATTAGGAGGAGGAGGAGGAGGAGGAGGAGGGTGAGGTACCAGGTGAAAGCTCTAGTTTGGTTTTGGTGAATTGATGAAACCCTAAGTGCTAACCTAGTTTATCAAGTGATCATGAGATAGGTAGCACACTCCAAGTGATGAAGCAAATGAAGATCATAGCATGATGATGATGATACCATGATGATGATCAAGTGCTTTGACTTGGAAAGAAGAAAGAGAAAAACAAAAAGCTCAAGGCAAAGGTATAAACCATAGGAGCTATTTTGTTTTGGTGATCAAGACACTTAGAGAGTGTGATCACATTTAGGATTGATAGGCGTACTATTAAGAGGGGTGAAACTCGTATCGGAGTGCGATTATCAAAGTGCCACTAGATGCTCTAATTCATTGCATATGCATTTAGGATCTAGTGGAGTGCTAACACCTTTAAAAATGTTTGTGAAAATATGCTAACACTTGTGCACAAGGTGATACACTTGGTGGTGTTGGCACATTTACAAAGGAGGTGGTGTTTGCAGTGTTGAGATGGGATTCGGCGCTTTCGGGAAAATGGAATGCCTATTTTCTATTGCGCCGGATGCAAATTCTTGGTGGTTGACACATTTGAGCAAGGGTGAAGAAGTTAGAGTTGAAATAGAGTTGGTCGAAATGATGCTGGCGTCGGTCTACTGACCGGACGCTGGGTCACTCAGTGACCGGACGCTGAAAGGCTGCGTCCGGTCGTGCTGTCAGACGGCACAGTGGCTAGGGTTGAGCACCGGACGCTGGTCTGTGTCCGGTCAAAGTGGACCGGACGCGTCCGGTCGAAGAAATACGCCTCTGGGAGCTTACTGGAAACGACCGAACGCTGGGGCTTCAGCGTCCGGTCAGCTTCGTAGCCGTTGAAATCTGACGAACAACGTTTGAAGCTGGTGACGCGTGGCGTCCATCGGGCGACCGGACGCTGAGGGCCAGCGTCCGGTCAGTATGACCGGAGCGTCCGGTCAGAGCGCGTTTTGCCCAGTAAAGGGGTATAACGGCTCTATTTGATTGGGGCTCTATTTATAGCCCCATGGCCGGCTCAAGGGCTAACTCTTGCACATTTTCATTGACATAGCAACCTTGTGAGCTTAGCCAAAGCCCTCTCACTCATCTCCATCATTGATCCATCATCATTGTGAGATTGGGAGAGAATCCAAGTACATTGCTTGAGTGATTGCATCTAGAGGCACTTGGTATTCATGTTGCGCTGCGGATTTCGCTTGTTTCTCTTGGTGGTTGTCACCACCTAGACGGTTGGAGCAGCGGTGAAGGATCGGCACGAGTTGGTGATTGTTCGTGGCCGCCTTCGGTGATTGTGAGGGGAGTTGTACCTTCTCCGGCGGAGTGCCAAAAGATAACTCTAGTAAATTGCTCGTGTCATTGAGTTACCTCACTTGTGGGTCGGTTCTTACGGTGTCCTATCGTGTGGACGAGGTTTGTGAAACACCTCTTAGCCGCCGAACCACCAAGTGTTGGTCGACACAACGGGGACTAGCGTGTTGGCAAGCACGTGAACCTCAGAAGAAAAATCGGTTGTCTCTTGTCATTTGCATTCTCCCGGTGATTGGCTTAATCTTCATCTTGTGATTGGTTCATTCCATACACGGCGGTATAATCACCCTACTCACGTATTTATATTCTTACAAACTAGTTGATACAAGCTCTTTAGTGTAATTAGAATTGAGAGCTTGCTTTATTATTTATATTCATCAAGTTGAGCTCTTTAGAGTAGCAAGATTTAGAGCTCTTAGTGAGTAATTACATAGCAAGTTTGGGTGCCTAAGTAATCATTGCAACTAGAATTGTTGGATTGGTGGCTTGCAACCTTTGTAGAGCTAGAGCAAGTTTGCATTACGCTATTTGTCATACTAATCAAATTGCTCTAATTGATTTGTAGAATTCTAAATAGGCTATTCACCCCCCTCTAGCCATATTAGGTCCTTTCACCAGGAGGTATGGCCGATGAGCTGAGGGGCGTGCGAAACCCTAGGTTGGCATCACCGTCGCGGCGGTGGCTGGCCGGGCAGGCCAATGTGCCGATCCGGGGGCGGAGAGGCGGACGCGGCATCCGTCGGTGGCAACCTCGCCGGGGGGGCAGCCTGGCCTAGGGCGGTGGCGGATGTGTCGGTTGGCGGGTTGGGGACGCTGTGGGTGAGGAGAAGCGTCGGGAGGCCGCCCGCTGCCGCATCGGGAAGGAAGAGGAGAGAGAGGAAGGGGAGGTAGAAACGGAGGGAGAGGCAGGCGGCGAGGGAGGGAGGGAGGAGGAGGAGGAGGAGGAGGTCGTGCCGCCCGTGCCCGCACACGCCTGGCGCCTCGCCGCTGTCCACGTCGGGAGGAAGAGCGAGAGCGAGCGAAGAAAGAGAGGAGGGGGCGAGACGACGAATCGGGAAGCAGCGGGGGATGTACTGTAGCAGCCGGCGGAGTCATTGCTGATCGTCGATCTCAGAATCGAACGGCGGGCGGAATTTCGGGCGACGTGGCCACCCTGGCTGGCGGCCAAAGTCCCCCGGTTTGATAATAAGAGATAGACTCCGGTCAGCCATGCTTTCAACACGAGTGCTAAGCTCTAAAAAATAACACGATGAGTGCTAATAATTCGATATCAAGCATTACCCCTCAACAACAACTCCGACAAACGATCTATTATCCTGCCGGCCACCAACCAGTCACCGAACAAATCGCTGGCAAATAGCATTGGCCTCACTAGGGCAGGGGTACAGTATAAGTACATGCCATCCGTCTTCTTAGCTCAAAATCTGCTATGAATGTCTATATGACTCTAAACTCAACCGTGAAACTGCTGTCACAGCACCTCAATTTTTGCCAAGAAAACGAGAGAGAAATATGCAAGATGAAAGCATGCAAACGACATATATATTTCGAATTCGAAATTGATATTTTGATAACTGAACCAATTCCATTGGTGGCTAAAAAAAGGGACACAAGCACAGGTATAAAAACATTCTAAAAAAAAACACAGGTATAAAAACAAAAAATAATACAACCATGGTATGATGACGGGCACTAAAAAGTAGATAGTTCTGCAACTATGTCACACTAGCAAATCATAATGGTTCCTCCCGCTGTATAATAGTCTTACTGGTGTCTTTTTCTTCCACTGCTTTGTATTTTTGGTGAATTCCAAACCATATTCAGCTATAGGAATGAAGCCATTACCCCGACCATGGTACTGCAAACATGAAGGGTAGATCACAGATGTGAGCCAAGCTAAATTACAGAACATAGTGCCAAGTTCAGTTTCAAGTATGGCCTATGGAAATATGTCAATAACATGTAGTTTCCGAGTAAACAAAAAGTAGTGCTTTAATCCAAATAGAAATTTCAAATTCGATGGTGGATTGAGTTTATACAGGGAAATTTTCGAAGATCATTAAAGTAAATTTTTCATTAATTTAACTGTTAGCAAAAAATACTTCCATATTTTACCATATTTTTGCTTAAAGATCTTGACAAATATCAAGATCCAAGAACACTGTGAATTCTGAGCATTATATTATGGAAAAAGCAGATATCTGAAATGCGACGCTACAATTTTTTTGAAATAAAAGGCAGGAGCTCTGCCACTCAATTAAGTAAGATAAAGAGTTTAGAGTTTTATGTACAAATGGCGCCCCCTGGCGCAAAACACGACGGTCCTAGGACTGAAGTAGGAATGCGACGCTACATTGCTATGAATTTATATTTGTTTCAAAAAAATTGCTATGAATTTATATAGATCATTTAGTCCTACGCCCGTTTTAACCTTTTCTTGGCTCTGCTGCAAATTCCTGGTGTTATTTTATTTTATTAGAATTATTTAAAGTTATCACCCCACAATTCATTCCCATGGTAATGATGGTACTCAAATTCACCATTATTTGTACATTTGATTATTACTTCTTCACTTTCACAATAAAGGCAGGCCAACCAGAAATAGTCATTTCAATTTCAATTGTCACAACAATATTTACAGATCTGGACCAAAAAGATCCAGTAACTCTCTACGAATGCTATCCCAGAAGCTGGTAGAATTACCTCACGCTCTGGAATATAAATAATTATTGGCTGCCGACACAGTCTAGACAAAACCTGAAAGGAGAAAAATGTCATGCAATTATGCAAACAATATCTAAAAGACAGACATACAATCCAACTTGACGGGCAGTAAGGCTAAGGCACTAGCATTCTGCTCCATCTATTTTGGCTAGAACCTCCAGAAGTTCAACAAAAGTAGAATACGAATGACGCATGAACTTGTCTATCATGTCAATCAGATTCAACATGGATCTTTTTTTTTCTCGAACACGATTCAACATGGATCTAATCTGGTAAATAAATGATGACTGCACAAACTAAGAATTTCAAGTTTTTAGAACAATAAAAATCTATACCAGGAATTCTGACTCTCCACCCCAGAAATCAGGCCGCCTTATCCTTTGGCAGTAGCTACAAAAAATATGAATTGGTTAGCATCTTTAACTTAGTTCATCGTGTCAAAGCAAACTAGGAAGTTATAGGAGCCTAACCGTTTCAATGATTGCTCCACAGTAATTGCTATAACTGCTTCTTCGTACTCCTGCCGCTCGGTCTCACTGTCGCATATAATTTCTTTCACTGCCATCCGTAAATCATCTAGGAAAATGGAGATTAATTTTAATTAATTAGAAGAATATCTTATCAACAACAAATCTCATACAACGAAGATGCAGTAAACATGTGACAAATGGATATGCCAGATATCTGGAATGTGGTGGGGCTTACTGTTTGTCTGCTGGTCTGGTAAATATGTCTAAATCGACATTGATTTCCAGAAGTTTTTCATGCTATATACTGCTACACCACATAGTTTGTAAAAAACTCTTTTTCTTTTTTTTTTTTTTTTGAAAAGAACGGCAGGAGTTCTGCCAATCTATGTATTGATAGAGAATAGTTACAAAATATAGCAAACAAAGTTACAATGAAAACACATAACTCTTTCCTTCTTAATACAGTGACAAACGGTTCTCCTGCGTGTTCGAGGAAAAAAACTTGCTATAAGAATCAGTCCTTCAAGTCAAAGATAAGAACTGAAATTAAAGCTCTCGGTTGGAATCATAGATGGATATATGATGCTCAAATCTCATAAGAACAAATGACACTCTCATTCATGTTTCTTTTTAATCGACAAGGATCCTAATTTTCTCATGTTCTATTATCTATTTCTGTCTTGTGAACAAGTTATGTGGTTGTTAAAGTAGGCGTGCTATCTTATAACATGATTGTAAATGCAGGTTTTTTTAATTCAACCAAAAGGGCCAACAATCTCCATTTACATTTTTTTTTCAGAAAGTAAGTGTTATTACATGTCAAGCTATTTCAATATCAACTTATCAAAGTGCAAAAAATTTAACAAGACATGAGGCCAAAAGTAAACAGAAACAAAAAACAATAATGTGGAAATTGATCTATGTACGAGGCTTTGTTTCAGGCTACCTGCATCTTGTACCTCCTCCCTTGGGGCCAAAGGAATCCCCTTGTTTTTTGCCATTCCTTTAGCCTACAAGCAACACACCAGGCTTCCCTTTGATATGAATGTGCAGATATGCCAAAAACGCACTTCAAGAGGCGTTGTTCTAACTAAAACTCGAAAGATAACGAATAGAGTACTAAATGTGCATTGTTCTAGTAGAATACTAAAGGTGCACAATCCATCAGAACGCACAGAAGGAGACTATGCTGCAAATTACCAACGCTCGAAACATGCAACGGCCGTCGCCGGTGACCCTCTGAACCCCGTAATGCTCCACCTTGTTTAGCGCCGCCGACCACCCACCCCTCCTGCACCGAGAAGATCAGAACAAACAAGTTTTTGCAACTTCACTCTGCTTCCCCTCTAATCGATTCAGGTATGCAGAGAGAGTCGAGGAAGTGATGACGGAGACGTACAGCGAGGAGGCAACCCTGGCGAAGCAGTGAAGTCGGGGCCAGGCCGGGGGCGCGTGCGCAAGCGCAGAGTCGTCCAGGAGCTCGAACTTGGCCGTGCCGTCCCGGAGGCGCGCGAGAAGAGTGGCTACCACGACCAGCACCGAGTCGAAGTTACGCGCGGGAATCGGAAAACCATATGGATAGATAGCGCCGAGATGAGGAGAGGGGAGTAAAGCCTTGAAGGGGAGAGTAGAGGCACCAACCATTGGATGGCCGCGCCGCTGCCGCCATTCGGCTGCAGTCTGCTCGCACTCCTTCCTCCGGAACCAGCAGCGGAAGGTTGAAGGAGCAAAGCGAACAAGGTGCGGCCTTTTCGGATAATAGATAGATGCCCGCCGGCGCCGGCGCCGCCGCTGGGGTGAGGAAAGAAACGGGCCATGGCCCGTCTTTCGGATGCTGGGCTATCGGCCTAGACGGTGGCGGCCATCTATCTTCCAGGCCAGGAAAGAAACGGGCCATGGCCCGTCTTTTTTATTTTGAGTTGAGACGGCGGAGTACTACCAAACACCAGCGTCAGAGCCTCAGAGGTCCCGATCAGCGAGCATTCCTGGCACGATCTCAATTCTCACCAGTCAGCTCCCGGCAAAGCCAGCGCGAGCGACCTGCGCCTACCCCCTCGAGATATTTTGCAACGCCTTCACAAATATCTCGTTGGCCCCCGCGCCATCGCGACGTCCCCTCTCGCGCGCGCGGCGCGCCATTATAGCACGGCGCACGGCACGCCTTCGGCCCCCCACTCACTGCCCAGAGGACGTCTGGCTAGCTAGCGACGTGACAGCAAAGAGGAAGAAAGGAAGGGGATCAATGTCGAAGCCCAACAGGAGCGACGCGCACCTCTCCGCCGAGGACGAGCCGACGCTGGAGGCCTACATGACGGTTTCGAGACGACGTTATACGAAATTGTCGTAGAAAGTCCTAAGGTCTGTATACGAGATGATAGAACGCTTTTAAACTGTGACAGTTTGTAATAAAAAATTAAAAAGAAAAGAAAATTTCTAAACCTAATCCACCAGCCTCCCTTCTATAGTCTACACACATCCATCTACTACGTCGCCCCTTCCCATCCGCCGCCACCCGCATCCACTGTACACACCCTCCCCTATCTGCCACCACCCATAGCCACCGCACGCCCCCATCCCCCATACTTCATGTCCCATGCCTCCCTGTGGCACCACCTCCTGCATGGCTAAGCCGCCATGTGATGGCGGCAACGCAACGCCTCCTCCCCAACGCTGGAGGGCATAGCGGCTGTGCAAGTGGCGCGCTTCTTCCTGCGCGCTGGCGCAGCGAAGCGATGCGGGTTCGTGCGCGCCTCCCTGCTGTGACCGGACCAAGATAGCACCAACCAACGGTGTGCCCCTGTTGCTGTTTGTGATTTTCATTAGGGTTTCGCTGGTAGGGGTTTGATCTGGTGGATGCGTGTGCTTGTAGGTTTTTGAAATTTCTAGGTTTGGAGGAGTCTGGTGTGCGCTAGGCCCTGCCGAGATCTGTCTCCGCGGCTGTTGGTATGTGAAATCCCATTTGTCGGGGACCTAATACCGGGGTACCCAACGAGGTGGTACTAGTAACCATCGGACGTTGATTCTTCCGAACGACGGAAGGTCGGTTCCGACTCGCCTAAAGCGACGGAAGAATCGGTTCCGCCTCGCCCGAACGACGAAAGATCGGTTCCGCCTCGCCCGACCCCTGAGGGCTAGGCTCCCCCTCACCCGACGACCAAAGTCCAGACTCCGCCTCGCCCGACCCCCGAGGTATAGACTCCGCCTCGCCTGACCCCGAGGGCTGGGCTCCGCCTCAACCGACGCTCGAGGGAGGGCTCCGCCTCGCCTGACAACCGCACCCCACTCCTTCATGATGATAGGCATAGGGTAAGACAAGACGTTCGGGTCAACCGCGGCATCGATGACCATGCCCTGCGTCCCTGTAGAAAAGTACCGTCAGGGCGCGACGGGACGGGCGCTTAGACCCTCCCAGGCGTGGCAGAGCCTAAATAGTGTTGTGGGTGTGTGCTCTTCTCCCTACAGTGTTGTAGGTGCCGCCTTCAACCCTCGGGCACGAAACCCGACACACACAAACGACAACCACTACATTCCAAGGAGGGACTCCCGTCCTCTACAGTGGCTAATGTGCAGTCACCGCGTCGTTCGCTCCCCACAGGGTCACAGATCGACACCCCTGTCCAACACGCCGCCCGTGGGGGCGGGACGGGACGTGACCACTTGCAGAGCATGGCACCGTCAACACACGCCCGCCCGACGAACGTGCCATCTCTGACACAGTCTGGCTGGCTGTGTCAGGGAGGCTAGCTCAGAGGAAAAGGAAGACCCAGCGCCTTCGGAGGGGCTTCTTGGCCTCTAGTTTTTTCTTCTTTCTCCGACATGTAAACCCTGCCCCCCTTGGTCTATAAAAGGGAGGGCAGGACACCCCGCTAGAAAAGACAAACTCACACACAGAGGAACTCACAGAGAGTTTAGTTCGACACACACACGATACATCACACACACAGTCAGGCCGCCACCAGACTCTTGGCATCCTTTCGACCCTTCCATCAGAGACCTGGGACCAGTCCCTCTCTCGATCGTTTGTACCCCCTACTACGAACCACTTTTAGTGCTAATAACACGAGCAACAACAGACTAGGACGTAGGGACATTCAGCCCGAACCAGTATAAACCTTGTGTCCTTTAGCGCACAATCCAGGCCTAACGCGCATAAATATAAATTTACTAGCCGGTGTTTATTTGAAACACCGACAGTTGGCGCGCTAGGTAGGGGGACTTTGCGCGTTCCAAACCAGGCCACGGATGGCTAACCACGACATCAGCTGGGTCCTAGGCGCACACGTGCGCTTCGGGAGCCTAGATTTCATCATCACGGTGGGAGGAGAGTTGGTACGGGCACATGCTGCCATCCAATCTCTCCCCTCCGTCGGCCTCGACGACAAGAGGCTTGGGCGCCAGCTTGGCGCCTCCCTTGGACTCCAACAGTCCAGGGAGGACCAGCGTCGCCTCGCCCTTTCCAACGACAACGACATGGCGCGGCCTTCCAGAGAAGGACTCCTCCCTCCGGAATGCCACATATGGAACGCCCGATGGCATTTCCGTTCAGTCTCCGCAACACCGCGGTGACCGTTGGCCACCTTGTGGCACAACGCATGGTTCAGCCGTCCGCGGACAGCGAGTTCGTAGGGGTAATTGAACACGACATGGAGTCCCTCCACAAGCTCCTCATGGAGGAGCCAGGATCGCCCTCTAGCTCTGACTCTAGCAGGGGGAGCCATCACCCTTTCCGAGAATGCTTCATGGCGGAGACCCCCGAGGGGCACATCAAAAGTGTCTCCGGGGAGGAGGCTACCTCAACAGGCAACCCCAACGGCAAGACCGGAGGGGAGGCAGTGGCTCCATCTCACGTAAGGATGGAGCTGCTGAGGGCCCAAAAGCTGGAAATCAATGAGGCCAGACAAGGGCTCGTACGGGAATATGCGGAGATCAATTGCGAGATTGAACGCCGTGGAAACGGTGGGCGCCACGGCCCATAATGTACATCAAAGGATCATCACCGATGATGGAACCCTCCCTCATTTCGCTCGGGCGAGCCAGAACATTGCCGCCGCAACGGCCTTGCTTCATGGCCTCCCAGAGGCCACGATGCCAGAGGATCGCCGGGCCCGCTAAGAAATTCGCAGCGTGCGGCCTTGCTTCATGGCCTCGAGCGTGCGGCGGCGCAGCAGGCGGAGAGCTCATTGTCTCGATGATGCGAGCTTGACACCAGCCAGCGCACGCCCTCGGTGTGCCCTACCAGGGACGCATCGGTCCACCAGACACCACCAGGCGGCAAACAGCACACCGCTGTCCTAGTGCACCAACGTCTCGGCCACAACAGCGACGCACGCAACACCATCGACGCCCGCAGACATGCTTACAACGACTCAAGAGAAGGAGCCAAACGCGGCTACCACCCTCGGCGTGGCGGACGCTACGAACAGTGGCGAGGACCGGAGCCCGAGCCCCGGTCTGCCGGGCCCTCAGGCCTTCGGCCGACACATCCTCAATGCTGCCTTCCCGCTAAGGTACCGACCGCCTACCAATATCTCTAAATATTCTGGGGAGACAAACCCCTGTCTTTGGCTCGAAGACTATTGGCTTGCCTGTCAAGCCGATGGCGTGAATGATGATGATTTCATTATTCGCAACCTCCCACTGTTCTTGGCCAATTCGGCACGAGCATGGTTGGAACACCTACCGTCCAACGCCGTCCGGAGTTGGGCGGATCTGAGGGAAATCTTTGTGGGGAACTTCCAGGGCACATACAAGCGCCCTGGAAACCCATGGGACCTCAAAATTGCCGCCAGAAAGCCGATGAAACCCTCCGCGGGTACATCCGACGCTTCTCCTGGCAGTGTAACGAGCTCCCTAACATTGCTGACGCCGACGTGATAGGGGCCTTCCTATCCGAACTACCTGTGAGTCTTTGGTTCATAAGCTGGGACGTAAGGGCCCGTGAACCACCAAGAAACTCTTGGACATCGCCACCAGCCATGCCTCAGGAAAAGAGGCGGTCGAGCAATCTTCGACCGTTCCGAGGGCAAGGCAAGGCGGGATGAGGGTGCCGGCGAAGGCGCCTCCAACCGTTCCGCCAAAAGGAAGAACAAAAAATAGCGGCGCGAGGACTCGCTCATTGCCGCTGCCGACCATAAGGGTGGCCAGAAGCCCACGGAGGGCACTCCGAACCACTTTGAAAAAAATGCTCGAGGGGCCATGCCTGAACCACGCTTTCCCAGTCAAGCATCCGTACAAGGATTGCGGCCTCATGCGCAAATTATTGTCCGGAAGCTCCAACAAAGGGGAGCAGGGGAAAGATCCGCCCCCCGCTACAGATGATGCCGAGGAGAAAGACGACACCTTCCCAACACCGAACTGGCGCCCTTGTGATCTTCGGAGGATCAACGGCCTATGACTCCAAGCGCCGCCAAAAGGTCATGCGCGCGAAGTCTATACGACCGAACCGGCCACGCCTGCCTTCCTCCGGTGGTCGGAATCCACCATAACCTTCGACCGAGCCGACCATCCGGATACTGTCCCACACCCGGAAGGTATCCGCTTGTGGTCGACCTGATCGTTGGCCCAAAGCGACTCACGAAAGTACTAATGGATGGAGGCAGCGCCTCAACATCATGTACGCCAAGACGCTCAACGAGATGGGCGTCGACCGGTCGAACCTCCACCTAATCCGAGAGCCTTTTCACGGTGTTGTACCTGGTAAACAGGCCGTGCCACTAGGGCAGATCGATCTATTCGTCGCCTTCGAGGATCGGTTCAATTACAGGACTGAGACCCTCACCTTCAACGTAGTGGGGTTTCCTAGAACTTTCCACGCCAT